AGTGTGCCTATGTTTGAAAGAGTGTGCAGTATCTTGAGGGCAGGTAGTAGGCTAAATCCATAAGGGTTTTGGTTTTGCAAACCAATGTTGTGGTAGACTTATACCCAAGTTATTCTATACTTGACATTGATAATAAACCTTCCAGGTTTATGTCAGTGATGCCTAAGCGACTAAGGTTGTTATTGCTTAACAAAGTTGATTCAAGTAAACCACTTATATATGAGATCATTGGTGTTCATGCGTGATAATGCATGGTGCAAGTAGGCACGATGATGTTATGTATGTAAGTTGTGGCATACAATGTTGAGATGCATATGTGATTGTGCTTGGATCCTTGTTGAGGCTTGGTGTTGTATGATGTGATTATATTTATATGCATTTTCATGATTATATATCTTATGTTGTTTTTATCAACCTCACCTTACTATTTGTTGTGTGACTATGATGATCATGTCTTGATATGAGAGCAAATCAGGTATAGCTGGAGGATGCGTAATTTGGAGTTGTTGTAACCATTTAGAGGATGATGGAAGTTGAAAACAATTGGTCTCCTGGCTTCAGTGTTTTGTTGTAGGATTGACTCATTTGTAAAGTTGTTTTGTTGTATGTATGTAGATATTATATATTTTGGGACTGTAATCCCATAAATGGATTTTATTTTAATGCTTTGATGATTAGGAATTGCTTTATAGCTATTGATTTTGATTAATCATTGAGATCCCAAGTATATATATTTGTACATGCATGATGTCCAGGTTTTGTTGCATGGTAAACTTAGGATAAATGACTTAAGTGTTAAGTTGCATTGCGATGTATTTTTGTGGTGTAGTTTTGTTGGTGTATGACTTCTCAAGTTACTACAATTGTACTTTCTATTGATAAAAAAATAAATGATATCAAGTAAAGATGAAATTAATTATGATTACAAATGCAAATGCGACAAAAAGTCATCAAATTATTAGTTAGAATTCTTATAATCCACAAAGTTTATTTTTTGGCAAACAATACATTTTCAGAAGATGAAAATATTTGATATTATTTTCTTCTTTATATGAAATAGTAGATTCTACTGTAAAATTTGTAAACATCTCAAACATTCCTACTTTAGGAAAATGTCAAATTACTATCATAGTAAAAGATGATTCTCTAAATTTTATCTTTGATGTTTTTTATGCTCTTGGTCTTCATCATAATTTTTTTGAGCATGAGACAACTATCAAAGAAATGTTACAACATGTAAATTCATCATGGATACTACATGTTAATTAATAGAAATGGATGATTCGTTGTTAAGGTAAAGGTGACACCCAACTGTCTATTCCCTTTGAAAATTTATCATGCATATTTTTTTGCTTGAGTTTTATTATTCTCAATGATGATTGGTTATGACATATGCGTTGTGGAAACTTTCACTTTTCTAGATTAAATTATCTATTAAGAAAGTAATGTTTCTACCTTGTCGGTTGTGAATATTCTTAATGGTGTATATGACATGTGAGATTAAAAAAAGCACAAAAAATCATTCTCAATTGGAATATATTGGAGGACGAAGAAGTTATTGGAGATATTTAATTCAGATATATACATTGTTGAGATACCAACTCATGGTGATAACATGTATTTTATTACTTTCATTAATGACTTTAGCAGAAAGACAAAAATCATAAGCATGTGGTGCCTTTAATATGTTTAAAACAATTGTACAAAAGCAAAATGGTTATATAATCGAAATATAAAGAACAAACAAAGGCCAAGAGAACCTCACCTTTCAGCAACATAGAATTCAACACTGGCTAACAACTAGATACTCGTCTCAACAGAATGAAATTGTTGAACGGAAGAATCAAACTATCATGTATATTGTGAGATGCATGTTGAAGGCCAAATAAATGTCAAGACAATTTTAGGAAAAAGCAATTGCTGCTATAGTATATATTTTGAATAGGTATCTAACAAAGAATGTTCATGACAAGACATTTGAAGAAACTTAGATGGTAGAAGACTAACAATTAGACATCTTGGAGTTTTTGGATGTATAACATATGCATATGTTTTAGATCAACTCAAAAAGAATTTTGATGATAAAAGAGAAATGTGGCTTTTCATTGGCTATAGTTCAAATTCAAAGGCATATAAACTTTACAATCCAAAAACAAAGAAGGTGATTATTAGTTGAGATGTGACTTTCAATGAGGAAGCCATATGGGATTGGTCTCCAAAGTCTCAAAAAGAAGAATATGGTGATTCTTGACAACTATGAAGAAAATGAGAGGCAACTAGATTTAATTGTTGATGAACCAGGGTCATCTTATAGACCATGAAGGCATCATCAACTACCAACCAAATTAGAGGATTATGTTATAGGCAATGATAATGGTCCATCTAATAGGGTGATTATAAAACTTTTCTTTAATTGTAGATTGTGAGCCAATGACTTTTGAGTAACCCTCAAAAGGTGAGAAATGTAGAAAAGTCATGGATAATGAAATTTACGCCATTGAGAAGAATGAAATACGAGAGATAACATATTTACCTATAGATAAAAGGCCTATTGGAGCGAAGTGGTTATACAAGACAAAGTACAATTCCAATGGAGAAATTAATCGCTTTAAAGCAATGTTGGTTGCAAATGGATTTAAACAAAAGTTAGGTATTGACAACTTTGAAGTATTTGCTTCAGATGCTAGATTAGATAAAATTATATGTATTTATTTTTTTACTCAAAATAATTGGAAGATATATAAAAAATGGATGTTACATCTACATTTTTGAATGGTATTCTAAAAGAATAAGTGTATGTTGAGAAGTCTATGAAATATGTAGTCAAAGGAATAAAAGATAATATCTACAAATTGAAGAAAACTTTGTATGGATTGAAGCAGACATCAAGAACATGGTACAAGAAAATTGATTCTTACTTTATGCAACATAGTTTTGAGAGATATCCTTTTGAGTAAACTCTATATGTTAAATTTGTTGATCCTAGAGATATTCTTATTCTGTGTTTATATGATGATGATTTAATCTTCACTGGAAATAATTCAATGGTGATTGAAGAATTTAGGGAAGCTATGATAAGATTTCATGAAATGACAAACTTATGCCTAATGCCCTATTTTATTGGCATTAAGTTTATTTAACTTCCATTTTGAGTTATCCTTAAGGAATCAAAGTCCTCTTGCTTGACCTTGTACATCAATTACGAAGGTATTGCCTAGGTCAATTTGCAAATGATATTATTGACTCTATCCCCACCAACATGGATTTCCAATAAACACAACACCCAAACATTATTTTCTTTTATCATATCATTCACAAGTCTAATGAAGCCTTTCCTTTAGCCCTTCTACAATTCCAAGTTATGCAGTTCATTGGGAATCATGTTTGGAAGTAGGTTTTAACGCCTTAGACAAGCCATCCTGAGAACCCGTGCCAATTTGTGAGGTGGTTCCTCCTCGAGGTGCATAAGTCCTTATCAAGGATTTTTTTTTTCCTAAGTTCAATGTGAGCCCACATTGCCTCTACAAAGGCTTTAGTCTCATCATAAGGAGATATAACATGTTATCAAGTTTCTAATGCCCCTCACTAAGTCTCCTTTATGTTTTATAGTCCAATCCACATTTTTAAGGCCATGAATTACCTTTTCTATTGTGGGTTTATGAGAGTATCATGATTCCTTTATCAAGTTCATCTTTGGTGGATATATCAACAAGTGTTTTTGTTTCTTTGGGCTCGTTATAGCCCACTATTTCCTTAGAGTTATAGGGATTATCTCTTTTTGTTGCTTTTAGATTGGCCTTACTTTCTTTCCCTCGAGGTTGTTGAGGATTTTTGCCTCCAGACATGTTACATACCTTATCCATTTGTTAGGGATGAGCTGGTAGATTGTTTTTGTATCTCCATATCATTCTTTGAGGACTCAATATTTATGGTTTTAGAATCATGGTGCTCCTTTCCTTGTAAGCATTCATATATTGAGCTAGATTCCCTATTTTTTTTTGGCATATCATAACCGCTTGGATCTTGATTGCTAACAATCCTTTTCCCCAAAACATTGGAGTTAAAGTTTTTATGGTTGTTTCTCTTAACTATCATCCACAACCCATAAATCCCCATCAATTCTGGGCTTTTTTGGGAAGTATTGTTTCCTAATTTTGTTCATTGGGTCAATCATTAACATCTTTCTTTGTACCTTACTCCTACTCCACTTCCATTGTTGTAGCTACTTTCATAGAATGGGTACCTAATCCTTTGTTCCTCTGTTGTGCCCATAAAACATTGTTGTTGTTGATGACCATATTTTTCATATGGGAAATAGGTCAATTGTAGTCATTCATATTTAACCTTGAGTATGTGATCTAGGATGTTGATTTGTGAAACCAACTTCTTTCTTAAGTCATTTTCAATACAAATTCTTGCAAAACATCCTCTAGAGTGGATATAGGTTAATTTATCAACCTTCAACATATGACCCAATTTTGATCCCACCCTCAAGAGAAATTTATCTATGTATAACTCAATGGGTAACCTTGGAATTATGATCCAGACTACAATCTTTCTTGTCTCCTTCTCTATTACATAGAAGAATGGTCTCCAATGTTGTACCACTAAATAGTGATCAATGAGCACCCATTAACCTTATAACATGACATGTCTATAGTCTTTATTTGTTGTAAATTACACTAGAAAAAGATCATTTGGCATGTCCATGATTCGAATAGTGCCAACTTTGGCCCAATCTCTTTGTTATTTGTTCTCCAACATTTTGTAACTAACTTTCTTGACTATTCATGAATTCTTCCAAGGTGTGCACCACTCCTCAAATTCTTTCAAGGATATTGAAATAGTGGGGTAGGATCGAATTCTTGGCCATAGTCAACCACTTCTTCTTCTAATATTTCAAGACCAAAGGAGTTTTAAAAACCCATCTCTTTAAGCAAGCTCTTGTAATTAGTAAAGACTTGCCTTCTATCCAAGGTTAGCAACTTTTTAAGTAGAATTTTGAGGAATCTATGTTCTTTACCTATACTTATTCTTTCGCTCAATGGCATTATCTATTATTTCAATCATGTCCTTCATCTTAACCTCTTGGTACATTGATCAAGAGGGTCGTCATCTTTCTCACCTTTGTTGTCACAAACCCTAGTAAAACTCATGCCAATATTCATTCTTAGTTACTTTCTTACTAATCAATCTACAAATGCTTGCTCATGTTTGAGTTTGTATGTTTACAAATGCTTATTTCAATGACCATTATATTTACTAATTATGTATATAAATAAATATTATGTTTGAATATAAAAAACAATATATATATATATATATAATTTAAATAAATAAATAATTTTAAATATATAAATTATGTTTTAGATTTGTGATAATTAATTCATATTATAGTACAAAATTATTTTTATTTATTGATAAGTTATTTTTAAAATATTAAAATTTAATTTATAAATAATTATAATAATTAAAATTAAATTAAATACAAAATTAAAAAAATCTCGTCAAATTTTTTTAAAAAAATATTCTTGCATAAAATAATTATTTATATTTTATATATAAATATCAATAACAAAAAAAGTTATCTCATTCTTAAACACGTATTTATCTATTTTATCCCTATAGTTACTTCTCAAATCATTCTCATTCCATCATACTCAAAAACTACCCTTATAAATTACAACCACAAGTACTCTATGCTCACTAACTTACTAAAAATAAATAAATTAAAGGCGAAAAATGTAATTTAGGCAAAATTTAGTAAATACTTAGTGCGTGTTTGGATTTGCGTTTGTAAAATTGATTTGAGATTAACGTGATTTTGTATAATTGATTTTAAGTAAACGTGATTTTAAACTAACGTGATTTTTGTTTGAATACATTTATTAGAAAATTGATTTTCATATTAAATGATGTTTGAAAAATAGTTATCAAAATTGATTTTAAGTGTATAATTACCAAAATAGACCTTAGTTAATTATTGATTTTTTTGTAGTGTAATGTATTATTTTTTAGTTGTATATTGACATGTATATTATTAATTTTATAACATGTTAAAAATAACAATTAATATATTACCTTATTATATAAATGGATGTATATAAAAACAAGTAAAAATAAAGTGAATTAACAATATATAAAGTAGCAACACTAACATAGGAAAAAAGGAAAATACTTTTTAATGCAATAAAACATTAACCTACAACATCAATACTAATGTTTGTTCTTCAATTGTACAATTTCATCTCGTATTGAATCTCGAACTTGATCCATTTTGGATGAAGAAATAACATTTAGAACTTGATTTTTCTCTAAGTTAACTGTACCATGATAATTATCATCTGATTCAAAGGTTATGTTCTCATCTTCATAACGGCTAAAATCAATATCACTTTCTGCATTCCTTCTAATAAAATTGTGTATAGCCATTGTTGCACATACAATTTGCACTTGGGTTTCCAGTTTATACTTAGGCATGTGTCGCAAGATTGCAAATCTATTCTTCCATACCCCAAAGGTTCTCTCAATTGTACACCTTAAACTTGAGTGGTAATAATTGAAAATTTCATTATTATTTTCAAACCCATTCTGACGTCTAAAATCCGGTAGATGATAACGTTCGCATCTATAGGGACCAAGATATCCCACTGGTGTTGGATAACCAGCATCTACCAAATAATATTTACCTATTAAAAAAGTAAAAAAAAAATGTTAATATAATTTAATTGAAATTGGAATTCAATTGTATTGATATAAATAAATAATACCTTGAGGAGGATGTGGAAAATTCAAGTTGGCAGTTGTGAGAGCATGATCGAAGATTCGAGCATCATGCGCAGTACCTTCCCATCCAGCTAGTACAAAAGTAAAACACATGTTCCAATCACAAACTGCCATTATATTTTGTGTTGGAGTACCCTTTCTCCCAATAAATCTTGCTTGGTCACTAGGAGTAACCACACATGGAACATGAGTTCCATCAATTGCCCCTATTGCATTCTTAAAAAATGGCCAGTATCTTGTATCATTTTCTATTTTGGCTTGACTATCATGAAATAGAGGATCTTGTGGCCTAATATATTCTACACATAACTTAAGGCAAGCATTTAATACCTTATAGATATGTCTACTAATAGTCTCTCTAGAGTGTTGAAACCTCTCTTGAAGCATCCTATTTCCTACCCCATGTCCAACCATGTTTAAAAAAATTGCAACCATTTCTTCAACTCGCATGCGCTTAGAGGCCCTTAAACCATGGTCAACTAACTTAGAGCAAAGATTGTAAAAAATATGTTTTTTCATACGAAACATCTCATAACAACGAATAGGATGACCTTGCAATATTTCGTGCACCCATGCATGACCTGTTTGTTCACTTGTTCTACGTGGCTCTTTACATAGATGCTTTATTGCATATTCACCAATAAGCACACCCACATATGATGCTTCTTCCATAAATTCATCATCTTCATCATTGTTTGATTCCAATTGTAGAAACTGCTCATTCATTTTTACCTACACACAAAAATATAAAATAATATCATGTTTTAATTTAACAAAATAAAAATAAAACACATAGAACAAGATGCTCAGTTTTAATTGTGAAACATATAAATAAAACAAGATTAGTAGACACTTTTGATTTATACTATGTAGGGGATAGTAATGTGTATTGCAGTTCTCTCTGTCACAGTTCTGAGACAAGATAACTATACAGTTACACAGAGTAGTTGTCACAGTCCAAAGCTACACAGATATCTCTTAACTGTATACTGCTTTTTAGTTGCGTGGCTGTTGCAGTTCTCTGAACTCCATTGCCTGCAACCTTCACAATCAACTCTAGGTAAACAGGTGGATTCACGAAAAAGAGAGCTTCATTGAACAGAAAGCATAAGAAGAAAATGAGAAAACATCTCTCGGTTGTTTCTATTTTCTGGTTTTAAAACTGTTTTGAAAATATTTTTCAAAACTTAATAGATTTTCGATGCGAAATTGATTGCTTAGTAGTGTGGAATTGTTTAGAAACAGTTTTTAAAAGAAAAAAGTGAGAAGGGAATCAAATGACAGAACAGAGCGTAAGTAGACATAGCTTTAATATTCTGCAAGCTAATAAATTATTGCAACACATAATCCAATTCAAGTAATGCCTCCACTTTCTTTAAGGTGCCAAAGGTATAACCTATTATAATTTAACAAGGATTCATTTGGTCATCATTCATAACCGAAAAAAAAAAAACTATAACAAAAAGTGAGAGTTTTAAGTGTAAGAAACAAAAACAAAAACACAACCTAATTTTATGATATAAAAAATACCATTAACTTAGCATTTTAATATTAAAAAAATAACTGATAAAAAATAGTTAATATTTAAATAATATTTTTTATATATTTAAATTACTTATAAAAATAATATTAGTAATTAAATATATTACTTATATTATAATTTTAAATATTTGTATTCTAATATTTTTTTTTCTATGAGATGATTATGTTTAAGGTTTATAGAACTTTGGCCTATTGAAAGTTAATGTTTTTTGGCAAAGACTTTAATTTGTCATGTCATGTATATACTTATTACGGTTGTTGAATAAAATTAACTTTTCATTAATATGGACAATACTATGATGTTGTGCTTGCTTCATATAAATTCTAATGGATTTCTATTTTTTTTTATAAGCATATTTCTAATATGAAATGATAGAGCATAATTTTTAAATTCAAAATTTTCTAATAATAGGAAAATAAATTGGCCTAGGACTTTATCAGAAAAAGTTTTTTCACGTGGAGAATCATTTAATATATAAGATAGAGGTAAGTATATAGAATAATTACAAAACTCGAAGCATTAATTATTTAGGGATAGGTTCTACAATGTATGACGTTGTTTCTTCAATCATTTATATCTAAAGAGTGACAAAATAAGCATTACATACCAGAATTATCTAAGAGATCGTTTGCAAAGTACTGCTATTCCATTTGATGAGCATAAGTAGACATAGCTTCAATATTCTGCAAGCTAATAAATTATTGCAACCCATAATCCAATTCAAGTAATGCCTCCACTTTCTTTAAGGTGCCAAAGGTATAACCTATTATAATTTAACAAGGATTCATTTGGTCATCATTCATAACCTCAAATTCAAAAGCATCAACACAAGGGTCGGAGCTAAGCATTCAATTTAGTGAAATAGAAACATTTACCATGAAATAAGAAAGATGATATAGGATTCCTCTTGCGAAAACTTCAAGCTGAAAGCTTGTAAGAACATAGTAATTTAAAGTCTGTTTGAATACAAGTTTATAAGTATTTTTGAGAACAGGAGAGAAGAAAAATGACAACGGCAGAAAACTTTACCTTCTTGGATGCAAGATAATCTGCCCTTTTACGGCACAACACGCACCTGTAAATGTACAGAGAAAAAAAAAAGGAGCACAAGTGATTGTTAAACAAACTCAAACAATAACTAGTAAGTTAATTTGTGCAGTAAATATGATAAAATCGCAATCACCCAAAGTGACGTGCAAATGCTACAACGGCTTTCCTATCTTTCCACAAGTCTGAAATTGGAATCCCGTAAGTTTCATAGTTTTTCAAACCAACAGATTTTATACCAGCCACACCAACAGATTCATAGAGCATGAACGCACAATCCATCAAAATGCAACTTAAATAAAAGTTACAACTTGGAGAGGTTGTTGGTTAGCATTGAAGTACAAAATAAATGCCCAATAAAGTTTCTGGTTCACAGGTGCAACATGTACACACGCAAGGAGGAAAAAATCTTAAATCGGTGAAAATAAAATTGATGAGAAGAATCAGAACATTACACAAGGAGGAAAGAACCCTAAATCGATGAAAATAAAATTGATGAGAAGAATCAGAACATTTATGAATTAGGTGAGGAGAAAGGGAACATTGAAGTTTCATGAGGACAAATGAGGAAAATCAAATATCCACTTACCAAAATCAATTTCCTGAAAACGTAGAAGCAATCTTCATCGCGCTTCAGCCAAAATTGATTTTCGTTGATAGAATCGTGTGAAAAAGAAACATCCAAACATGCTTTCACATAGATGAATTGCATTTGCGAAAAGAAATACCAACGCGCATCCAAACACGCACTTAGTATATGTTTGGAAATCCGTTGAAAACTGATTAAACGGATTTTTTCACTTTCCGATGAAAAAAAAAAAAAAAACTAAAGCAAGTGATCATTAAACACAGTGGTTTGAGTCAGTAAGGAATTAATTGGTGGAGTTTAGTTTTCCACGGAACTTGCATTCTGTTTGGTCTCCTTCAACCTTCACACACTGACACTCATAATTATCCTGCACATCCAAATTCACCATGTCAAGCCAACCCCAGACACCGTTCCTCGAGCAATGGCTCACCACCAGGTCCGGCAGCACCACCGCCGCCAAAGCCACCGCCAAAACCACCGCTCGAGCCATAATTCAAGCGTGGACCGCACTCCGAGACTCCCTCCAATCCCCCATTCCCCAACCCCTCCCACTCCACCACCTCCAAACCCTCGTCAATTCCCAATCCTCGCTCCACGTCGCACAACCCCAAGCCTCGCTCCTCCTTCACCTTCTCCAATCCAAATCCATTTCTCCCACCTCCCTCCCTCTTCTCTCCACACTCCTCTACACTTGGCTTCGAAAATCCGCTAACCCTACTTCAACCATAATCGATTCCGCTCTCCAAACTCTCTCCGATTCTCATCTCGATTCCTTTTCCCCCGAGGTCCTTCTCCTCTTGGGCGCCATTTCCTTCGCGCCTTCTGCTTCTCACAATACCAAGACGCGCTGTTTGGACATGATGGCCAGAATTTTGGCGCCGGAGAAGGGTAAATTGCGCGCAGAACCGCGTGTTCTCGCCGGAATTGGTTATGCCCTGTCCTCCTCCGTGGATGCTTCTTGTGTTGAGATTTTGGATTCGTTGTTTCGAATTTGGGGGAAGGGAGAGGGATGTGTTGCTCATGGACTCATGGTTCTTTATCTCTTTGATTGGGTTGTTTCCAATTTGATTGGTTTTGGGTGTTTGGACAAAATGCGTGTTTTGGTGCTAGAATGTTTTGGGAGTGTTAAGGAGCATTATGCTTCCTTTGCTGTTTTCATGGCTGCGGTTGGGGTGTTGCGAGCTTTGGAGAGACGGGGCGTGGGGTCGGATTTTACGAGGGTGAGGGAGTGTGTTGTTGGTAGGATTGAGGGTTTGGTTAGTGGTTTGGTTTCGAGGGTGTCGCGGTTTGGTTATAATGACAATGATGAGGGCGATTCTGCTGAAGAAGATAGGCTTTTGCTTCGGTGTGTGGCGTTGGGATTGGCAAGGACTGTGGCGATTTCGGGGCATTCGGCTTTGTTTGTTTCTCTTGCTTTGGCGTTGTTGAGTGAGATATTTCCTTTGCCGCGATTGTATCGGTCGGTGTTTGAGAGGTCGCGTGGTTTGGGTGGAGTGGATGTTAAGGAGATCAGGGAGCATCTGGATGGTGTCCTGTTCAAGGATGCAGGAGCTGTGACGGCGGTGTTGTGCAGTCAGTATGTTGTAGCTGATGAGGAGAATAAGAATGTGGTGGAGAATCTTGTGTGGGAATACTCTCGGGATGTCTACTTTGGACATAGGCAAGCGGCTGTGATGCTTAAGGGTGAAAAAGTTGAGCTGCTTGAGGGTTTGGAGAAAGTTGCGGAATCTGCTTTTCTTATGGTTGTGGTATTCGCGTTGGCAGTGACAAAACACAAGCTGAACTCCAATTTTGCTCAAGAAATACAGATGGATGTCTCGTTGAAGATACTAGTTTCGTTTTCTTGTGTTGAGTATTTTCGCCATGTCCGCCTGCCGGAGTATATGGAGACCATTCGCAAGGTGGTTGCTGGTGTTAAGAATGAGGATGCTTGTACTTCTTTTGTGAACTCCATGCCCTCTTATGCTGACCTGACAAATGGCCCAGGTGTGATTTATGTGGTTGCATTTTAATGAGAGTTGCTCATTTTTTTATTTTGCATTTTATAAGATTCCACTTGTCTTCTAGACCAGAAAACCAATTACTTATGGTCCAAGGATGAAGTGCAAACTGCTCGCATTTTGTTTTACCTACGAGTCATTCCAACTTTCGTTGAATGTTTGCCCAGCCTTGTGTTCAGAAACATGGTAGTTCCAACTATGTTCTTGTATCCTATATAAGTACATGTTTGATTTTGCACAAAATGTTCTCTCTATAGCATTTTATTGATGATCTATTTTGAACACAAGATAAGCTAATCCAAACATGTTTTCAATAATATTTTGGAGTCCTTGGTTGATCTATCATGCACAGAAAATTTCTTCCTTATTTAAATGAAACTAGATATATGGAGCACCCAAATGGAAAAGTAGCTCGAGCCTCTCATTCTGTGTTTGTTGGATTCATGACTATGGGAAAGGATTCTGAAAAGAACGATGAAGTTTCATTGAAGGAGCAACTTGTTTTCCATTATGTGCAAAGATCCTTATTGGTACTTAATTCTGCTAACAGCCTCAACCTTAAGTTTCTGAGACTGATGATTTTGAATGCATTTTTATGTTACTGTGTAATATGAATATAGGGATATCCTGGCATTACTCCTTTTGAGGGTATGGCTTCTGGGGTTGTAGGAATTGTACAACATCTTCCTGCTGGAAGCCCTGCCATTTTTTATTGCATTCACAGTCTTGTTGAAAAAGCCAATCAGCTCTGTTCTGAAGTCTTCACTTATGAGGCTGATGCATGGAAGAAGTGGCAAGGAGAGCCAGAACCGAGCAAGAAATTAATGGACTTGCTTTTACGCTTAGTGTTCCTCGTTGATATACAAGTGAGTTGTAATTAATTATGAATAAATGCTTTATTTGTACTATTTTTTTTTGTCGCATCATATAAAGTAAAGCAATAAAGACCTTTGGAAACCCAAAGATGATGCCTTTAAGTTGTGCAGCCAGTTAAAAAGTAGTCCATATAATGTATAAGTGCTTAAAGTTAATGTTTGAAAATTGTATCATTCCATCGGCATTAAATGTTGTCTTTAATCTTGACTATGCAAGCCTCTTTTACTACTTTTTAGGTCTTGCCCGACTTGATGAAACTGTTGGCACAGCTGATCACTAAGTTACCACAAGATGCACAGAACATTGTTTTGAATGAGTTATATTCACAAGTGGCAGATTCTGATGATGTTGTTCGTAAACCCACACTGGTTTCGTGGCTTCAGTCATTAGCTTACCTTTGCACTAAGGCTACAAATCAAAATGCAGTCAATCGAAAAAGTGAAAGTGAAGATAACCGGACTTTGGCCAGTATTGCAGACCCATTAAACAGTGGAAGAACAACTGCACGACTATAAGAGATTCAGGTCTCTCTTTTGTGGGGTACTACTCCATGTTTTCAACCTTATGTTCTCTCTAAATAAATTCTATAGTTATGTTAGATCGTACTAATGGATCTTGTTACTGCATGGCATATATTTTGAGCCATTTGTTCACTTCACTTGCGGCAATAGTGTTTTCTCATCCAGCATGACATTCTTTTGTGATTGTGCCAATCAGTTTGTTTCAAAAGTTTCAAAGTTATCTTAGGCAGTGTTTGGAAAAGGTAATTTGAGGGGGAGGGGGGGGGAGTAATTTTTTAAGAGAATTTAAAATAATTGATCCACAAATAACTTGTTTGAATGATTGGGTCATTACTTTTAAAAATTCTATAATATTTTTGTAGGGTAATAATAAAATTGAAATCCACCTAAATAGGTGGAATTATAGAAACCCACTTGTTTCTCTATCCATATTTCATTTTATGCATTACGTAGGGAGGGTTTTATCAGCCTAAACAGCTGTTTATCCTTAACATTCGTACCTTCCCAATCATGATGTCTAGTCACCTTTTGCAGAACTTGCTGGCAACAACTAATCTTGCTCACCAGAAGAGTTCCGGATTCAGGTCCATTTCAATTTTCCACTTGATTTCCTTTTTCTATTCATGTTCCTGATTCAATCTAACAATTTTTATTCTTTCCGATTCAAATTTGCTTGAATTAAGTTTGGGACCTTCTGGTTTGGTGTCCTGATTTTTCTGTGATTTCAATGACATACAGTTGCTTTATGTTCTTCAAAGTGTTAAGTTTGTGATTGTTTGAACTTTAATAGATACAATAAACAACAGGATGAAAACAATGAGATGTGATATAGGATAATAGTTGTACCTGGCTGTTTTTATTTTATGCCCTTCAATTTTTGTAGTGCCCCAGAACCAGATGTTTGTTTGATCAGTCATTGGGCTTTTCAGAAGGAACTGGGTATAGGTGAGAAAGGGACACTTCTAATCAATATTTTATTGGAAAAAATCTACTATTGGTCCCTAATCCCCTAATGTTTTTATTGCAAATTTGGTCCTCATAGTTTTCAAAAATTAAGAAATGTTGGTTTACCTAGTCAACTAAAATTAAACAGAAAATGCTGACAACTCTGTAAATGATACTGCTAGACAGTTAGTTATGTAGGAAAATATTAGTATTAAAATTAAAAAAATATTTTAATAGATTATAAATTTTAGTTGAAATAAAAAGAAAGTTAACATATTTGTAGTAAAAAGTAATGTTCTTCTTTACATGGAAGCCAACATGGCTAAGTAATTGCTTGTAGTGTCATTTACAGATACACAATTGACAATTCTTGAAAGCGGAGAGGAGTGGCCGATTCTAAAAGTCAGATAATGGGATTGCAGATAGATGACCACTATTCTAATATTATATTTATATATAATAAATAATTAATAATAGGGGATGTTTAAGAAACTTCTTAATATAAGAAAACAAAAACTATTGATAATTACCATTAGATTAAAATAGATAGCTCAAGTTAAAAGCCTATGAACAAAACTATCACATACCGCTATCAATATTATCATAGTTATTTGTATTATAAGTGTCATCACAACTAATCGTCGTCATCACTATTGCCAATGCCGCCACCACTGTCGGTGGCGGTAACAGCAACAGTAATGGTGGTGTTGGCCGAGGCGGCAGTGGTGACAATGATGGTGGTGACAATTGTGACTGTGATATTTGTGATGACGATTATGATAAACACAACTATGATGGTGGTAGTACATAGTAGTTTTGTTTATAGCCTTTTTAATTTGAACTGTTTATTTTAATCTAATGATTATTATCAATAGTTCTTATTTCTTATATTAAAAATTTTCTTATTTGAAACATCCCCATTAATAATATATATAAAACAGAAAATAACTCATAATTCATGCATTAGTCATTTTCAATAATAAAAGTTCATAGTACTCAAATGAAACATAACATAAAAAGTCAAGGAAACAAAGTTCTTAAAGCTTAAATCATCTATAGCTTAATCTGCTACCCTATGTCATGAAACTTTGTTATTTATATGATTTGATTTAGATTAACGTTTGGAGAAAATGAGAGCTTTTTATAACTCCCATATACCAGGTCTGAATAAATGACCGGTTTCAAATACGAGGGAATCTGTTGTTTTAAGAAGCTTGTGCAATCAATAAAAAAATGTTTGTTAGGCCACTTATCACAGTAGCACAAGTTTTTTTCTTATTTATTTTTGGTTTTTAACTTTTGCACCTTGCCAGGATTATTGACAACAAATTTTAGTATGATTTGTTTAATTATTATTTTAATTTTTTTGTGGTACACAACGAGTTGAAAGGCGGAACTGTTACCAGTTGATTGCCCTGTTACTTGGTTATATATTTTGGGTTAGTAAAGACAGAGTGCTTTCTGGGATATTTTGCTTCCAGATGCAAATCTGCAAATAATTTTCTTGATCATGTTATATTGTTATTTGAATCATTATTGATAAATGATAAGGGTGTGAACTTGGTTCATGGATGTTAGAGTAATACTCAGTTTGGTATGTCTAGCGGTTAGTATAACTGTCATAGCTGTTTAATAGTTAGAGTATCTAGGAATTTGAGTATGATTCCTAACAATAAATAAAGCAGAACCTGTATGGTTAGTTAGTTCATTCAGTTAACAGTTCAGAATAGAAAGCTTTCTGATTCTCTCTCCAACCTTTCTTCATTTTCTCTTAATTTCTATATATCTTTTGCACTGATTCATGATTTGTAACATTGGGCTAGAATGTGCTTGGGATTCTTGTTTAGTGTTGAGAGTAAACATGCTAAATGGGGGGATTCATGTAATTTGCTCAATGATATAATTTTTGATGGCTGGTCTTGCAACTGTTTCTCTTGTTTAGCATTTCTATACTCTATACATGAATTAGAGCCTGTGATCTTGCATCTTTTGGGTTCTTTAGAAAATGATAAGTTATTTTAGTGATAACGGCCAGTTTGCAAGTGAGTAATGCATAATGTAAGGATTCTGAAGGAATTATATTGCTTGGTTTAGAGCATCTTAAATTTGGGATTCAATGCTGTTATAGTCATTTTTGCTTGTTATAGCCATGAAGGATGTGATTTATTCAATAGTTTGGTTGAGTAAATGGAAATATGCTTTGCTTCTTTGCTGATTCATTTTGAAAGTTTAATTGGAAATTATGAATAATATGCTGAAAATATATCCATCACAGGTTTGGTTAAGTGAATGAGACATGTGTGGTCTCCCTTGAGTTCTCAGTACTTATATTTCTTTATTCAAATAATAAATGATTCTCTGTTTACCAACTCCCATCTTGGTTTTTGACATTTAAATATGACCTGAAGTATGACTGGATGATGGTGTCATGTATTGGTAATTTGATATTTTAAAAGGATTACAATTCTTATATTTAAGAAATACGAATAAACTATTCCTAAACCTGGGATAGTTCCAAATTAGCTAAGATTGTCACCAATAGTGAAGTATTTACACATAAGTGGTTGTTAAAAATTAAAATGTAAAGTGAGCAATCATTTAAAATGAATTTAAGATACCAAAGCCTTTCTTATGTCTTTTTTTATGCAGATATCTGTAGCGATTAAGATTTTGTATGCTACTGATGCAAAGGAACCAGCATTATATGAAGTAACCAATCAGCCATGAGGCTTGAGCTACTTAGACTAATCAGGAAATCCTGGGCTTCATATAATGCTTCGAGTAGCTCCTGTGAAGCCTGATTGGTTACTTCGAAAACTGAAGGACGATTATTCCCAAAAGCCTTCCGTGACCACGATACCGGTAATCCTTCTCCATGCTTATTCCATAAAGTGCCATTAAATCACATGGTTTTAGCTGCAGTGTTCTTGTTTACTTCTTGTAAGCCTGCCTGGATGGATAATCAGAGGATATTTTGGCTGATCTTTCTAATAAATACAGCTCATCTCACAGTCCACTTCCACCTTTCAAGAAGAGTTTTTCAATGAACGTTGCTTTAAAAAGGATGTTGTGCAGCGATTGTATTTAGTATGTATTGGTGCGTCTGTTGTATAAATTAGCTCATGCCCTCTGAATACTCTTGTGATATGTGAAATAAGTCTGATTCAAATGTAAAGTCTGTCCCATATCCTGTATTGTGCATCAGTGTATCTAGAGTAACGTTAGGATGTTGACAATATTTGTACAAAATTTTATTATAGTTTGAAATTCATATAGGAGTAGTTTTTTAATGTGGTATAGTTCATATAGTATTTGTACATAATTGATGATGATTAGTCGATCATTGAACATTCACTAATGCCAGCAAAGGTGTATAGATTAATTACCCTATCAGATATGATGTTCAGAGTCAGCTTCAGTTGCGGATGTTTAAAGTTTATTTATATTAAAATGGGTGATTTTACAATTGAGCTCTATTGTTGCAACTTTTGCATGGCCCAAACTTCATTATCTAATGAGTTTTGTAAATGAAGAAAAATCGTTTACTTTATTCAAACAAGAATTTTTCAAATGAATAAAATTCAACCAAAGCAATTGATTCGCTTTTTTCTAGGACGAGCAAGCCTTTTTTCATTCCAATCGTCTATCATCGTGGACTTAAACCCAAGTGATGCTGATATCACAAGCATAATATAACAAGATAAACCAATTCTTACTAATGGGCCAAAAAGTCAACTCTTATTTCATTATAGTAGTCTCATTTGTTAAGAGAGCATTACCCACCCTATCCCACGATCGTTAAACCATTGTATGTTTATCACATTACGCATTATCTCACCTTACAGAAGTAAGAATATCAACACACTCTTTAATTCAAGTGTTAAAATGCCTCTTCAGTAGAGCTTTGGAACAAGATTATAGCATAGAGACATAATTGAAGGAGATTAATCCCTAAACCTTAACCATTGTGATTTGGCTACCCTCTTATACAAATATATTGAAATACTTGTTTGATAGTTCATGTTTGGATCAACACATCAGAAGGAATGAATTATTCGTGACTATCTCTTAATAATATACTTGAACTCGCAATACCTTACTTAAGTGTTGCACTTTGTCACAATACCCAACAGTATCAAACTTATACTACAAAATTTCTTTCCACATCTATCGAAGAACTTCATTTATGTATAAACTTTTTTGAAGATAATTATAGTGTCGCGGGTATTTTTAGTGAACTAATAAGTCGCTTTTCAATAAAACATTTCTTTACAACATTATTGCCATGATTCACTTATTTTTAGGGTTATGTTATGTGAAGAGCTAAAGTGTTAGCGTAGAACAGTGGAGAAAGCAACCTCAAAAGCCTTTTTTTATGCAATGCAATCTCCCTCTTTGCCCAGATGCATGGTACATTCGGATCTCACATATTCAGCCGTCAATACACACTTTTTGTTTTTCTTAGTAAGGAGACATAATTTTCACAATATTCATGCATCGGTACTAAAATTTGTCTTGTAAATGAACAAAATACACGTTTTACTTAATTTTCCCAAAATTATTGTTTTTCTTTCTCTTCTGTGCTTGGAAACTTTTACATGAAATGGTAGCAAAACTTTTTCAAATACCCACGTTCTAACACCCTCTTTATTATTGTTTGAAATTTATTTCAAAATCATAAATTTTCTAAATTTCACTTTTCATTTAATGAGTCTTTTGATTTGGTAGTAAGACCTACAAATTAAAATTTGAACTAATAGTAGATAAAATATTATTAAAATTAATATTTTTCAACTTTAGTTAGTAGACTAGATACTCTACTTTAGTCTGTCATGGACAGATAAATTGTTATGTAGTTGTTTAAGTATGACCAATGATTTTGTGTTCAAACCTTGATATACAATTTTTAAATATTTAGATCAAGTGAGAATTTTCTTATCCATTAACTAACTTAAGCATGATTACCTTTAGATACACATGATATAGAAAATAATGTTTTAATTTATCGGTATACATTATAATAATAACAAAAAAATTCAAACCTTATACTTTGTGCATACTGCTCACTAATTTTTAAGTCTTTCATAAGTTAAATTTTTTTTCTTCTAAATTTTAACTCGTCTCTATTTGAAACTAATCATTTTCCTTTTATTTATTTGATGTATGTTTATCAATCGCTTTTAACTTAGAGAACTTTATTTATGCATTCTTTGATTGATGTATGTACATTGACTGACTGAAGTATGTACATTGCTTTACATCTAATTTGACTAGAAGGTTTACTTAACAATTTTTTGCGGAGATTTGAAGGGTTGTTTTTATTTTAAATATGTAGAGACACCATTATAGCAAAAGCAAGAAAGAATATATATATATATATATATATATAAAAGAATGTTTATCGAAATTAAAACATTAGTTGTTGAAATGAAAGTTAAATGTTATATCATCAAAATATGCAAAAAGAAACTGGAAATATGGTATGGGTTTCCCTTTTATATCAATTAACTTCGTTTATATTACAAACTAATTTTTGATCTTTTGGGACCGGAATTACCACTCAAAACTTATTTCTCTGAGTAGTATGATTAATTACGAATAGTTTGAGTAATATGCATGCAATATTCTTTGCAAACACAACATAATTTTTAAACTACATACTTATTAGTGTGAGATGGTTCATCCCATATGGCAAGGTTTGCTTTAATTTTGATTGCATGTCCCACAAAGTTTTATATTAAGCTATTTCACGAAAATTGAACTAAATAACTTTAAATCGTGGAAAGAGGAGATTCAAAGTCTTGGTCCAAAAGGATAAGAAGCAAAGCGTAACATTTGAAAGCAAAAACACAAAAAAGCAAGAAATTAGATATGTGATTATGCTAATTAATCCCTTTAGGATCCACAAATTACAATTCGGCGCCGTTTGCTTAGCGCAATTCGAGGCCCATTTTGGTGTAACCCTGAAAATGGCACCATTCACGCCTCTTCTTTTCATGACATTTTTGACAAAAAGAGAATAACAAAAACCCTATGAGGAATATTGGGGACTTTGATCTTTTAATTTCTTGGATTGGGTCAACTTTTACAAACTGTTTCCCTAAAACTGGTTTTAGGGGCTCCAAGTTTAGCCATTTGAGGACACATGCATGCGTTTGTTATGGTGGAGCATGAGTTAATCACATGAGGAACATAATGAGAGGATTAGGTCATGTGTGCTTTGAAACTTTGAAACTAATGGACCTACAATGTCATGTGGTCCTCTCATGTTTAAGATGTGATATAATTGTTTCTTGAACTTTGTATTTTCTTTCAAAAGTCATGCAAATTGTTTTTGGCAAGTGGTATTTTACTATAACCATTGTGATTAACAATGAACATTACATTTTTTTAATAAAAATGTTTTATTTATCACCATTAAAGCAAAATTTAACAAAATATTTTACATATAGATAAACTATTTTGTGAAAATTAAAATTTATCGATTAAGTGTACAACTCTTATTTAGGAAAATATTGTTTGGTACAAAAAAAATTTATCAAGGAATGTAATTGGATAAGAATGTTGAAGGGAGATAATTACATAAAATCATTTTTTTTAACATATACATATTTGATTACATATTAGGGGTTGAATTCTAGTGCTTACCCAAAAAATTAATTAAGACAAGCATAAAACTCAACATATATAATTACTTTTTCATTCTTTATTGTGCTCACTTACGTAAGAATTCATAGGTAATGTCAATGTAAATGAAAAAAAATTGTAAATACAATAAAAAATCTTTCTATAAATGATCATTAACGACAATAAAGTCAGAATCTAAGATCTTGTGTATATTATATAAGAAGAGTGTTAACGCACTCTCTTTATAATTTTTTTTTTTATTGATCAAAAGTTATTAAAATCATAAAATTTGTGAGTTTTGCATTTTATTTAATGAATTTTTCTCTTAATTTAACCTATGATTCTTTAACGTGTGTGATTTTCAACCAATATTTGAAAAAGTGTACCAAGGGTGTTAGAGGAATGTTTCTACATTCCTAATTATCTAAATTCCTGTGTAAGCGACCTAGTGGTTAGTGGTCATTAACAATATTGTTCAAGTTAAAGGTAAGAAAGAGAAACTAAATTTAATCAAACATATTACATAACGTCGTATTCTTAAACATTCCCGTTTCACTATTTTGTGCATCTATAACATTATAACAAACAAATCACGTGAGAGCAAAAATAAACAGCTGTTTCTCTTTGTTTCAACAACCAAAAGGAAGAAACAACACGAAGAGGGAAATAATAATTAACGTGGAAAGATCTAAATGTACAAGATAATTTTCAGCCAAAATTTTGATATCGTAACTTTAAGAACAAAAAGATTGATGACCCAATAACCCCAATAAAGCAAGACAAAATTGGTGAGAATATAGGAATAGTTAGAAAACCGTTTTAAACTGTCATATAGTAAACGTTGCAATAATTCTTGCATCTTACTTGCCCTTTTAAAATTCCCATGCAAAGAATTTTCAAATTCCCAATCTATAAAACAGTGTATTAATTAACTATTATGTCTCATTGAAAAGCCTTGATTTACGCCAAGTGATTGATTCTCCTAATCCTAAGCTTATTATAAAAAGGGAAGCATATAACTCAATTGCTCCAACCAACAAGTCATAAACAAATTCCAAGCAAAAGTGAGCATGGGAAATTCCTTGTTCTCATTGTTCCTTCTCACACTCTTGTTGGTGGGAAATGTCCAATGCAACCCAAACTACAGAGAAGCATTGGCTAAATCCTTGCTGTTTTTCCAAGGGCAGAGGTCAGGAAGGCTTCCTTCTGATCAACAACTCAAATGGAGATCCAATTCTGCCCTTTTTGATGGTCGCCAAGCCAATGTGACAATCTCTTTTTTTCATTTTATTTTCTTGCACTTACTTCTTTTAACTCCAAGAATGCTAGAAACACTTTGATATATTTGAACAAAATTTGTTAAAAATCATAAATTTTGATAATTTTGTTATTATGTTAGAAATGAGACTAGTTAAATAAGATTTTAAACTTATGAATATGTTAAGAAAGCATTTGAATCTTATATGTCTAGCATAATTTGTTACTACTTACAGGTTTCAGTATAAGGGTATCTCCTAATTGATTTAAAACTGTTTTGCTATGCTTTGATATGCTAGTTTGTTGAGTCTACTTTATCACTGTCACTGTATGGTTCAAAGTCAAATATTTTATGGGAGTAAATTTTGATTGACATGAATTTGTTTCTCACGTGACTTTATACTGC